GTAGACTCGTTTTTATGCAAAGCCTGGTTAAGACGTCTATTTGGAATATTTGGAATCCAGCCTATTTTTCTTAACTTTCAGGTGAAAGTTATTCTCCATGTTCAGCGTTTTTCCTCATTAACTAGGAGTTTTCTCTCTTCTGTTGATGACATACACCCTAGCATATCTCAAATCATCAAGAAGAATTTCAACACACTCCATTATTTTGCTTAGTACTTGTTGAGGTGCAGAGAACTGACCCCCTCACCAATGGACTGCCCTGAAACAGAGCAGCTCTCCCATCCAGGGGGTCACATTCACCACCCCTCAGCAGATGCTTTAAACCATGGACAGTCCTGACTCTGTATATAATTAACAAGTTTTTTTCCACACACACACACACACACACTGGTGATAAAGTTTACAAATTAGGCATAGTAAAGAGATTAACAATAATAAGAAAATAGAACAAGATAACAGTTCTATACTGAAATAAAAGTGAGGTAAATGTGGTGTCTGCCTCCTCCTCTCAGAATATCCTACTGTACAAATTTAATGCCTTTTCCATCTTAACTAAAGTACTTATCACATTTTGTGCCTGTAGCTTTTGCAGTGTGAGGTGTGAAAGCAAAAATAGCATGAATTTAGTTTTCCTTCCTCACAATTTCATGGATAGAAGATTCATTCTTATCATAGATCTTAGCAACCTTAGCATATGAATTTTTTTTTTCCTTATTAAGTCAAGAACTTTCACCTTTTCACTTCAAGGCTTTTCACTTTTCACACTTCACTTTTCACTTCAGTGTATCTGAATTGCCAGCCTCACTACTCTTGCACTCTGGGGTCACTGTTAAGTACAATAAGGGTCACCTGAACACAGCAGTGAGATACCACAGACAATCTGACAACCCAGGCAGATGCTAAGTGACCAGTGGGCAGGCACACTGGAAAAGGGGATGATTCATATCCCCTACAGGATAAAGCGGGACGGGGCAAGATCCCACCACACCACTCCCAACAGTGGGAAACTTAAAATTTATGAATCATGGGGCTTCCAAGCAGGGGGTGGGTTCGATCCCTGGTCAGGAAACTAAGATCCTGCATGCCTCCTACTTTAGTCATAAATAAATAGATAAAACACATGCATTGTTTATTTCTGTAATTTTCCATATAATATTATCACCATGGTGACTGAAGATAACTGAAACCACAGAAAGTGAAACTGTGATGCTAGATCACTAGAAAAGTGAAGGGGAGATAACTATACTTTCCTTCACCCAAACAGTGTAAACCCCTGAGACTTGCCTTAGTTCACTGAATATGGTCTTCCCAGTAGAGCCTGTCCAACCACACTAAACACCTAAGTCATATATAAAAGCACTATGTTAAGTATATTCTTCAGAACTGATTTTTAAGAGCCTTGCTTCCCTAACAAAATGAAGCTTTTTTATGCTTCACAAACTTTACAGTGATTTCTGTGACTAAGCCCCCCAAAATTCAGATGTAAATCACAATTTACCACCAATGAGCTGCATGACCTTATCACGGTGTCTTCAGAATGCATTTCCTCATCTCTAAAATGGAGAGGTTGAAGCAGGTATCATCTACAGCCTGTTAGCTCTCAACTTCTCAGATTCAATGATGGCAAGACAAGAAAATTTCTAACTCACCTCTCAGCCTCTTCGCACTCCTCCTAAATTATCCTGCACACTACTAACTGAGTTTTCCCGAACTACCACTGTGTTAGCTTTCTACTGCTGTTACAACAAACCACCACAAACTCGGAGGCTTAAAACAGCACAGGTTTTATCACCTTACAGTTCTGAAGGTCAGAGGCCTGAAAGATGTTCACCGGGCTAAAATAAAGATGTCTGTGTTCCTTCTGGAGGTCGTAAGGAAAGGCTGTTCCCCTGCTTTCCGCAGCTTCAAGAGGCTGCAGTCCTTGGCTCATGGACCCTTCCTCATTCAAAGCCAGCAGCGAGGCATCCACACATCTCTGCCTCCCTCTCTCACTTACAGGAATCTTTGTGATTACACTGGGTTATCCAGATAATTAAAGGATAAACTCTGGTTTCAAGATCTTTAACTTACTGAAATCTGTGAAGCCCCTTTGACATGTGAGATAAACATTTGCAGGTTCTGGGAATTAAGACATGGACACACTTGAACCATTTTTCTGCCTACCACAACTATGCAGTCATATCAGCCCATAATTAAACTCATTCATGGCCAAAAGCAGACAAAAACATCAGGAGAAAACTATGCATAGACACAAAAATACTAGCAAACCAGATCTAGCAACACACAAAAAGGATTATACACCATGACCAAATGAGATTAATCCCAGGAAAGAAAGGTTGGTTTAACATTTAAAAATCAATCAACATAATACAATAATGGAATGAAATAAAAAACCCACACAATACATCTCGACAGACAGAAGAAAACATTCAACAACAAAATTCAATAGTCTTCATGATAAAAATACTCAAATTAGGAATAGAAGAGAACCTCCTCAACCTGATGAAGTCTCCTATGAAAACCCACAGCTATCGTCGTACTAATGTTACCAGTGAAAAAATGGATGCCTTCACTTTAAAATTAGACACAAGACAGGAATGTCTCCTCTCACTATTTTATTCAACTCTGCATTGAACTGAAGGTTCTCCTCAGGGCAATTAGGCAAGAAAAAGAAATAAAATAAAAAGATTGGAAAGAAGAAAACTATGTCTATTTTCAACAGGGCTTCCCAGGTAAAGCTAGTAGTAAAAACCCTCCTGCCAATGCAGGAGACGTAAGAGACGCAGGTTCGATCCCTGGGTTGGGAAGATCCTCTGGAGGAGCATATGGCAACCCACTCCAGTATTCCTGCCTGGAGAATGCCGCAGACAGAGCAGCCTGGCAGGCTACGCTCCACAGGGTCACACAGTCGGACACAACTGGAGCGACAGCACACACAGCACATTTCCAGCTGACATGATCTTGGATATAGAAAATCCTAAAGAATCCACTGAAAAAAGTACTAGCTAATAAACAAGTTCAGCAAGGTTGTAGATTAAAAGATCAATGCAGAAAACTAAACTGTATTTCTACACCAGCAATGAGCAATCTAAAAATGAATTTAAGAAAACAGCATCACTTACAATAGCATCAAAAAGAATATAATAGGAATAAATTCTACAAAAATTAAAGACATGTACACTGGAAACTATCAATCACTGTTGAAAGAAACTTAACCAACGAAGAATGACATAAATGAAAGGAACAGAATTGAGTGTCTAGAAATAATTCCCTACATTTAATAACCAACTGATTCTCAACAAAAGTGCCCAAGAAAAATCAATGGGGAAAGAATAGAGTTGGGCGCCTACACAAAAATCTGCTGTTCACAGCAGCATTAACCTTAATAGCCAAAAAGTAGAAACAGTCTAAATGCCCATCAATTGAGGACTGGATAAATAACATGTAATTTGTCCATATGATGGATTATTATCTGTCAATAAAAAGGAACAAAGTACTTATACTCACTCTAATATACACCTTATATATAAGATGTTAGGTGAAAGAGACCAGTCACAAAAGGCCAGATACTGCATGATTCTATTTATATGAAATTTCCAGAACAGGTAAAACCATAAAGACAGAAAGTAGAGAGCAGATGCCAAGGGCTGGAGGAGGGAGAACTGGGGAGTGGCTGCCAAGGGGGGTGGGGTTTCTGTTGAGGGTGCTAAAAAATGCCCTGAAGTTAAGATGACACAACTATGAATATACTAAAAACCGTGAATTGTACACTTTAAATGGGTGGATTTTATGGTGTGTGACTTTTATCTCAATTGTTTTCTTAAGTCCAAGGTATTCAATTCACGTGCAAACCCACTGGTGAACATAATAAATGGTCTCCAAGTGGTCTGGAAGGAATTTAAGAACACAAGATAACGCCTAAGAACATGTGTTTTGCTTTGTATGAAGAGCAATCATATGATTGCTCCATGTTAGGAAAGTACATATGACTTTTACTAACACAGCACAGTTAAAAAAATAAACACATAAAATGAGCAGCTGGTTTGAACAGCATTAGAAGCTCCTCAGTGGTCACGAAATAAACTCCACACACTCTCGTGAGCTGTCGCGACTGAGCGTCACCCACCTCTGAGGATCCGACTCGCGTCACCGCGAACGCAAACTCAGCAGGGCCCGACCGCCTGCTCAGCGACACCACGCCCACCGCCACCCAGCCCTCCGCCTGCTGGCCTGCGTCCTCCACAGACTGCGCACTTTTCCGCCAATGAACCGGTCCTCATCTTCAGGATTAAGGATCTGACTGACACCCTGGGCCATCAAAACAGCTCTGTGCGCCTCTCCAGACCCCACGGACAGCAAAGCCCCCGGCCCCTCACAAGGCCGAGCCACACCTCTCCGACGGCTGCTCACCAACCAGGCGCTTCTCACCACCTCCACTCGGCTCACTCACAACAGTTTGGTTCTTTGTTTAACAAAAACACCTAGAAGTTACATTTTCCAGTCTCCATTCATTCATTTATCCATGTCATCTTCTAATTTCCCCACTTTCTAAGGAGAGGATGGCTTTTACCCAGGTTCTTAAAAGTAAACGGCACTTTTGCCAATGACAGAGCGCCACCTAGTCGTGGAACAGGGTAACTCACAACGGCAGCAGGAAGCGCGACACCCTGCTTCTGCAGAAGTGAACTGTGTATCCAAATGAGAAGTTGCAGAATCACTTTGCAGGGCAATGAAACTGCCTTATACATGCGTCTTCTCTACCCGATCAGACTACCACACAAGGCTTACAGGTGTCATTTGTTCTCCACTCAGTATCATGCATTATTCATCATTTAACAGTCACTAAATCAAATTCAATTTCTGAAGAGCATCATGTCAATATATTCATATGTAGAGATGGTTCAACATTCCTTTGATAACCACAGGAGAACACTTTTGAGTTTATTATAAGAATTAAACAGCAAAAGTAAGGATAAAATGAAATCTGGTGATTTACTCACATATAATGGAGCTTGCTGTGGATTAAGTTTCATGACCCAGGACACTGGAACAGAAGAGAGAGAAATAAATGAGAATAAAATTAAAAGTTATTAAAAATTTAAAACCCACTGGAAAAGTCCTAGATGTCAAGCAAGATTACATGAGCAAAATCAGCAGTCTGGGGTTACAGATACCCAGCTTTCCTCAGAGGTTTGGAAACAGAAGTTCAAGGATTGTAACATGCCGTGTGGCCCAGATTCAATCTTTACAAGTGGGGAGAAAGATGTTCTGATTGAAAAACAAAGACAAAAGTCTTTGCAGTCATAGAAGATGTTTCAACAACCAACCAACAGGATATTAAACGCAAACCAAAAAAAGAACAGTGAGTGCGCAAGGTACACTTCTATATAATCCCCCAAACTCATAAGATGCTTCCCCCAGTTATCACTAGGGCACTCAGGGCGGAGGGGAGACCAGGAGACAGCTCCTCCTCTCAGAGGAGGGGCGCCACAGGTGGCCTCCATCAACTAGAAGCTGTTGGTCTCCTGAAATCAATGGCTGGGTTCCCTGTCATTACCTATCTAAATGAATTCTCACAAAAATCTTAGGAAGAACTTTAGAGAAGACTTACAACATTATATAGTACATTTGTGACTATTAAGAACAGCATGTTCTTAAAAGCTCACCTTGGTGATTTGACCAGGATTTCATCTAAGCTAAAATTATCGTAGTCCAGAATTACTTGAGATAGGCAAATCTTTTGTTAAATAAACAAATCTCAGAATAAGCTAATCCCATCTTCATAAGAATCAGAGAAGACACAAGTAATTTCATTCTAACAGATTTTGAGTGTCTTGCTCATAATAGGGAACCTGATCAATTACGATCTAGCAGTTTAAAAAAAAAAAAAAACCCTACAGGAACAGCATTCAAGACGCAAAAAGAAAAAGATAAAATCCCATACTTGGCAAGATGCCACACCAGATCATAAAAACCTAACAACTGAAATGCCAACAGCATAAACTAGAAATCAAAGACCAAATTTTAGAATAAAAAGCAATGCCTGAGCAACCACATACAGCTCAAATTAACAGAATCCTCTCAGTATCAAAACTTCTTTACAAATCAGACAGTTTAGTCAGGTTGTGTGTCTGAGGATCAAAGTGAAAGTGAAGTCGCTCAGTCGTGCCCAACTCTGCAACCCCATGGACAGTAGCCTGCGCCAAGCTCCTCCGTCCACGGGATTTTCTGGGCAAGAGTAATGGAGTGGGTTGCCATTTCCTCCTCCAGGGAATCTTCCCAACCCAGGGATCGAACCCAGGTCTTCCGCACTGTAGACAGACGCTTTACCGCCTGAGCCACCAGGGAAGTCAAAGGCTCACCCCAAAAACAGTTAACACACACCTCTAGGGAAATAGATAAATCTATAACCGGACTCCCACACACGATCATCTGCAACCAGCAGCGGGCCATGGGTTTCCTCACTCTGCTGCAAGACGTGCCCACAGCCGGGTGGCCCCACAGGGACTGGCCACCTGCCCTGCTTGCCCCGATCGCCCTCTAGTCCACACCCCCACCACGCATGCGCGCACGCGCACACACACACACACACACACACATTAACAGACCTGCCCAACACACACACACACACACACACACACACACACACACACACACACACACACACACANCTTGTCTGTCCTGTAGTCCACACCCCCACCCGCCCAACACACACACACACACACACACACACACACACGAGGCTTGTCTGTCCTGTAGTCCACACCCCCACCCGTCCAATACACACACACACAGACACACACTCGGCTTAGGGCACTCTTTCCTTCCTACCAGCCTTCATTTAATGATTCTGTACCCTTAAGGTGCAAAAATCACCTACAAAAATCCACACTGAAAACCAAACTTGAGAAATGGAGCAATAGTCAACTCTTTCAGAAAACCTTTGTTTTTCTAACCAACAGATTCAAAAAGCAAGCATGGATGATTTAAAAAAAGAGAGAGAGAGAGAAAAGAAAGATTGAAGGCAGAGTACTTTCTCAATGCATTAAATATCCATTTAACTTAAAATTAAGCACTGTGCTCACTAGTCTTTTAATCAGCTTTCTAGGTCCTGTTCAGACTTGCCTGGGACAAAAGACTGAAACAATCTATAAATGCACGAACCAAACCCATTTGCTTTAACTGACTTATGAAGTATTCCTGACCATCCCAACAGAAGAAACATCAGTGGAAACCAAAACAAGAATTAACACCTTGTGACCAGACCAGGAAAGGTTTGAAGAAATCTATGGAGACCAACTAGTGACCTACCAGCCTTCTGATGTTTCTTGATTTGCCAGAAGACCTAGAATGACTGTGTGTACAAGGAACACAAATAAATTTCTCTGATGCGCCCGCTGCATTTGGGCGAAAGGTCTGGTGATGCCCTCTGAACTGTCTGTAATCGTGGACTCGCCTAAACTTATTTCAAAGCCAGAACCCATACAAGTTATTCTGATATGAGGATTAAAGAGGGCTGACAAACTGTCTGTCCACCCACACTGGTCAAAGGGACAGTTCATTGTTGTGCTGGCAACACAGGCTGCTGGAAGAATAAATCTGTCAGAAGTCATCAAGGTAATGACCCTAGAAGCATCGGATTGCTAAATTCAGACTGCCTTTAGGCTTCAATGCTGACAAACCAGGGGAAAGCAAGGACTAACATTTACAGAGCTTTATAGCCAGTATCATTTTTTTTTAAACACGGGCCACTTTTAAAGTTTTTATTGAAATTGTTACAATTTTTCTTATGTTTCATGTTTTGGTTTTTGGGTCACGAGCATGTGGGATTCAAGCTCCCTGACCAAGGATTGAACCCACAACACCCCTGCGATGGAAGGCAAAGTCTTAACCACTGGACCACCAGGGAAGTCCCTCCAATATCATTTTTCATCCCCTTTTAAAAAACACTATTTTCCCCATCTCACTGGTTGGGGAGGGGGGGTGTTTCCTTTCAATGATTATTTAGTATCAACATAAGAGGTGGATGAACCTAGAATTCAAGCCCAGTCTGATGTCACCAACCGACCTGCCCTGCCTGCCTCTAGCCCTCATTCTACAAACAGTACAGACTCTCCTCGATTTCATTAATTCAACCATCACCGGGCATCCACAGTGTGCTGGGCACCCAAGCATTGAGAGTACAGACAGAGCTTATCTGAGGATTAACAGGGATAGACCAGTACTGAGTGCTACAGGAAAGCAGCAAGGAAGAGGGAACAAGGAGGATACAGTTTTAACACGGGGCTGAGGGGAGGCCTCCTGAGGCGGCTTTTACCCCCAAAGGGAAAGAGAGTTAAGAAAGCAAGTAACACAGTAGATGAAAGACCCTCAAACTGGTCCTAAAATCGAGAATTCAAGAGTCCTGATGCTAAACCATCAAACACTTGCTATGTACAGTGCATCAACTTATTTCACACATTTAAACAGACTTAATTTACTTGAGAACTGTGTTCTAAAAAAAGGAGCCTACGTATTACAGGAAGGTGACTGTCTCAGTCAGAGCAAATGCACTTGAAAACCAACCTATTCCCCAAGACCAATCTGGAGACCACTGGAGTCTTTGCTTTGTCAACAGACTTCGTATCAAGAGGAAAATTAAACAAAAGCACCATGTCTACCCAATCATTTCATCAAGGAATTTTAAGAGAAAATCCTAAAAGAGAAAATCCTTCTGTCTCCGATAACAAACTAGTGAGTGACTTCACAAGCACCACATGCGCCTGACACTGTGGGGCCAGTAAAGGCGGCACGCCATTTGAAAGAGACCATGAAAAAAAAGAACTATCAAAATGCAAAGATTTACATGATATGATGTTAGGTATGTCTACCAACTCTGCCACTCCATAGTAACCTGTTACAGTTCTGGGAAAGTCATAAACTTGGGTGTGAAATATTAGTAATAACAAGTGCAGTAAGTATATTTATTCTTCCCACATTTTGAGTTTTATTTCAAAACGCTTCAAGAAAAACCAAACAGTTTGCTGTTGTATAAATGGAACAAGTTCACTTTATGTCAAAACAGGCTCACCCCATTTTAATGCAACTGTGTCAATTACATAAACCTGCACACCCCGCCACAACACCCACATGCGCGAAGTCTCAGGATGGACATCCAGGCCGCCTCCACGTCCTGTCACTGTGCGCGTGCTCAGTCGTGTCCAGCTCTCGGCAACTCTATGGGCTGCGGCCTGCCAGGCTCCTCTGTCCATGGGATTTTCCAGGCAAGAGTACAGGAGTGGGGCTGCTATGCCCTCCTCCAGGGGATATTCCCAACCCAGGCATCGAACCCAGGTCTCCTGCACTGCCCACATTGCAGGCAGGTAGTTTTATTCCTAGTTTCTTAAGGAATCTCCACACTGTTCTCCATAATGGCTGTAATCAACTGACATTCCCACCAACAGCACAAAAGGGTTCCCTTTTCTCCAAACCCTCTCCAGCATTTATTATTTGTAGATTTTTTGGTGAAGGGCTTTCTGACTGGTGTGAGGTGATACCTCATTGTAATTTCAATTTGCATTTCTCTAATAATGAGCTGCCTTGAACTGCAAAGAGATCCATCCAGTCAATCCTAAAGGAAATCAGTCCTGAACATTCATTGGAAGGACTGATGCTGAAGCTGAAACTCCAATACTTTGGCCACCTCATGCGAAGGGTTGACTCAATGGAAAAGACCCTGATGCTGGGAAAGACTGAAGTTGGGAGGAGCAGGGGATGACAGAGGATGAGATGGTTGGATGGCATCACTGACACGATGGACATGAGTTTGGGTAAACTCCAGGAGTTGGTGATGGACACGGAGGCCAGGTGTGCTGCAGTTCATGGGATTGCAAAGAGTCGGACAAGACTGAGCGACTGAACTGAATAATTAGCAACCTTGAGATCTTTTCAAGTATTATTGGCCATCTATATGTCTTCTTTGGAGAAATGTCTGTTTAGGTCTTCTGCCCATTTTTTGACTGGGCTATTAAGTTTTTCTGCTGTTGAGCTGCTTATATATTCCAG